CCAGTTTATGTCAACTTTGTTCTGCTCAAGTAGCACAAAATGGACTTAGCAAACCAGAGGCCAGCACTAAGAATGTTTACACCGGTTGCACCTTAGCATAGATGTGCAGCAGTGGTGCAAAGCCCTAATGCAGCTGTGCAGCACTGGTGCAAAGCCCCAGTGTAGATTCAGAGATGTTCAGGCCAGACGGGACCATTATGATCATCTTGTCTGACTTTCTCCATTACACAGGCCAGCAGACCTCACTCTGTAACTTCTGCAGCAAGCCCATAACTTCTGGCTGAACATGTCTAATAGAAACACAGCCAGTCTTGATTTAAAGACTGCAGGTGATGGAGAATCCACCACAGCCCTAGGTACGTTGTTCCAGTAGTCAATTACCTCAGTATCAAAAATGTGCACTTTATTTCCAGACTGAAATAAAGTTCTAGCTGCAGTTTCCAACCATTGGATCTTGTTAGGCCTTTTTCTTCTAGATGAAATAGCCCTCTGCCATCAGAAATCTCTTCCCAGGTAGGTAGGTGTAGACTGTGATCAAGTCCCCTCTTAACCAACTCTTGGATAAACTAAACAGATCAAGCTTCTTATGTCTCTCATATCAGGTAGGTTTTCTAGAAGTGGAATAATTTTTGTAGCTCTTTTACTATTTTTCAACATGGTTTTTGAAGTGTGGTCACCAAAACTGGACACACTATTCCAGTAATGATCTTGCCAGTGCTGTTACAGAGGTAATAGCACATCCCTACTCCTGCTTATACACCCAGGATTGCATTAACCTTCTTATGTACCGGACTCATGCTCATTGGCTATCTGTCGTGACCTCTACGTCCTTGTTGGTGTCACTGCATTCCAGGATACTCACTCTGACCTACAGTCTTTGTTCCTATGTGGATTTGGCCATATTAAAACACGTTGTTCAAATGAGCCACCTTACCAAGAAGTCCAGATCAGTCTCTATAACTGACCTGACCCCATCAATATTTGCCACACCACCAATTTGTATGCTATCTGCAAACTTTACTAGTAGTGATTTCATATGTTCTACCAGGTCAGTTATAATAGTTGACTGCATTGGTTGGACAGGGTTTACACCAGTGCAATTATCCCAGTTTCAGATTAGGGGAAATCCCATTGGTGCAGTGTATTTACAGTGGGGGGGCTGCACAAGTTCAGCTGCACCAAGGCAGCCATTCTCACGTAAAAAATCCCTAATGTAGACAAGTCCTTATACGGAACAGATTGGGGGCATGTCTACCCTTACCCAGGATCAACACCATGGCGATCAATGCAGGTCAAGAGAAGACCCACAAAATTGACCGCAGATCGCTTTCCCGTCAACCCAGGGTGGTGTAGACACCACAGTAAGTTGACCTAAGGTATGTTGCGTAACTTAGGTCGACTTACCTCTGTAGTGTAGACAAGGCCTGGAACACAAATTGTGTGAAAGTGTAGCAGTGATTGTTAGATTTCCAGCACCAAGTCACCTGAAGAAGCAGTGAAAACCTGGGCCCTCTTTTCTTCAGTTGTAAACTTGGTTCATACAGGAAACCCAGTGCTGTCTAGGGGCTAGTTAAGGCAGACAGACCTGAATTCCATTCCCAGCTTCATCAATGACTTGGTGTCTGACCTTGAGCAAATCAATACAAATTTCTGTGCTTCAATTTACCTGTCCATAAAATGGGGTCAATAAACTTCCTAATTTCACAGATGCTTATTGGGAGGCTTAATTAGTAAATATTAATAAAGATCCTGGTAGGAGAAATGCTATACATCATTAATTGTTTTGTGATTAATAAGGGTGAAAAATGGTCAAAAATGGCAAAAATATTTACATATTCATAAACTAATAACGTTTAACAGGTTCAGGTTGTGTAGATTTTTTTTTAATTTAACAAAATGAGGGAAATACATTGGACGATCTATTTAAAAGTACTGTATCAAAGAGGATAATAATACAAATTAAACCTCGTCCATTTAGGGCCAGGCTCTGCCCTTGATGCTTGCCACTATTTCCCATTGAAAAAAAAAAAAAAAGTCTCGTCTCATGCATAAAGTTACTCACGACACAGGGCTGGTGCCCTACTCTTACACTAACCCACGCACTACATCCACTGGGCCTGATTCTCCACCCCCTTTACACCTGGCGTAGTCATCTCCCCGCACAATGTGGGTATTAACCATGGCTGCTGGTGTGAGTGAGGGGGGAATTCTGGTGTGGCAGCATTTCCCCTCTCCCTAACACAGGTATAAATGAAGTCAATGGGAGACATGAGTGTGTTTTGTTTGGATCAGCAACAGTCCCTTGGCATCCGACTTTCTGGTTCCAGCGACACACTGCAGAGATCCGGTCTGGGCTGGCTACACACCCCAAGCACCCAGCACAAGGCTCAGACAAAGCAGAGTCCTTTAAACCTGCCCGGCCACATTTCAGCACAAGCAGCATCCCGAGCGCACACCCTGGGCTGGCAAGGGGCCAGGCGGAGCCAGCCCTCGGCATCTGACGAGGTGACGTGCCCGCCTCAGAACTGCATCATCGGCCTATCGGAGCAGGGGCGTGGGATGGAGGCAGCCTGGGCCTCGCAAGGAGGTGCCCTTGCTTGCGTGTGTCTCCACATCACGCTGCCAGGGACGCACAAGCGGTGCCAGCCCACCCGTCACCAGGGACAACAGCCAGCTCCCTCCGCACGCCCCTCCCGGCCGGCTCGCTGCCAGAGCGGGGCGCAGGTGGCATCGCCCTGTCTGACCTTCACTTCTCCACCAGGCCCGACCTGGAAAGTCCCCCAGCGCCTGTGCGCGCGCGCCCCTCTCTCGCTGTGCGTGTGTTGTGGTGCGCGTGCGCGCCCCTCTCTGTGCGTGTTGTGGTGCATGTGCGCGCCCCTCTCTCGCTGTGTGTGTGTTGTGGTGCGTGTGCGCGCCCCTCTCTGTGTGTGCCTGTTGTGGTGCGTGTGCGCGCCCCTCTCTCGCTGTGTGTGTGTTGTGGTGCGTGTGCGCGCCCCTCTCTGTGCGTGTTGTGGTGCATGTGCGCGCCCCTCTCTCGCTGTGTGTGTGTTGTGGTGCGTGTGCGCGCCCCTCTCTGTGCGTGCCTGTTGTGGTGCGTGTGCGCGCCCCTCTCTCGCTGTGCGTGCCTGTTGTGGTGCGCGCGCCCCTCTCTCGCTGTGTGTGCCTGTTGTGGTGCGCGCGCCCCTCTCTCGCTGTGCGTGCCTGTTGTGGTGCGTGTGCGCGCCCCTCTCTCGCTGTGTGCCTGTTGTGGTGCGCGCGCCCCTCTCTCGCTGTGTGTGCCTGTTGTGGTGCGTGTGCGCGCCCCTCTCTCGCTGTGTGTGCCTATTGTGGTGCGTGCGCGCCCTCTCTCGCTGTGTGTGCCTGTTGTGGTGCGTGTGCGCGCCCCTCTCTGTGTGTGCCTGTTGTGGTGCGTGTGCGCGCCCCTCTCGCTTGTGTGTGCCTATTGTGGTGCGTGTGCGCCCCTCTCTCGCTGTGCGTGCCTGTTGTGGCTGTGCGTGTGTGCGCCCTCTCTGTGCGTGTTGTGGCGTGCGCGCGCCCCTCTCTCGCTGTGTGTGTGTTGTGGTGCGTGTGCGCGCCCCTCTCTGTGCGTGTTGTGGTGTGTGCACGCGCCCCTCTCTGTGTGTGTTGTGGCGTGTGTGTGCGTGTGCGCGCGCCCCTCTCTGTGCGTGTGTTGTGGCGTGTGTGTGTGCGTGTGCCTCTCTGTGCGTGTGTTGTGGCGTGTGCGTGTGTGCGCCTCTCTGTGCGTGTTGTGGCGTGTGCGTGTGTGCGCCTCTCTGTGCGTGTTGTGGCTGTGTGTGTGTGTGTGCGCCTCTCTGTGCGTGTTGTGGCGTGTGCGTGTGTGCGTGCGCCTCTCTGTGCGTGTTGTGGCGTGTGCGTGTGTGCGTGCGCCTCTCTGTGCGTGTGTTGTGGTGTGTGTGTGCGTGTGCCTCTCTGTGCATGTTGTGGCGTGTGTGCGTGCGCCTCTCTGTGCGTGTTGTGGCGTGTGCGTGTGTGTGCGCGCCTCTCTGTGCGTGTTGTGGCATGTGCGTGTGTGTGCGCGCGTGTGTGCCTCTCTGTGCGTGTTGTGGTGTGTGCGTGTGTGTGCGCCTCTCTGTGCGTGTGTGTGTGCGTGTGTGCGCCTCTCTGTGCGTGTTGTGGTGTGTGTGCGTGTGTGCGCCTCTCTGTGCGTGTTGTGGTGTGTGCGCGTGTGTGTGCGCCTCTCTGTGCGTGTTGTGGTGTGTGCGCGTGTGTGTGTGCGCCTCTCTGTGCGTGTGTGTGTGTGCGTGTGTGCGCCTCTCTGTGCGTGTTGTGGTGTGTGTGCGTGTGTGCGCCTCTCTGTGCGTGTTGTGGCGTGTGCGTGTGCGTGTGTGCCTGTGTGTGCCTCTCTGTGCGTGTTGTGGTGTGTGTGTGTGCGCCTCTGTGTGTGTGTTGTGGTGTGCGCGCGCGCGTCTGTGTGCGTGTGCGCGAGTCTCTCTCTGTGTGGTGTGTGTGTGTGCGCGCGCCTCTCTGTGCGTGTTGTGGTGTGTGGGTGTGCACGTCTGTGTGTGTGTTGTGGTGTGTGTGCGCGCGCGCCGCTGTGCGTGTTGTGGTGTGTGTGCGCGCGCGCGCGCGTCTCTGTGTGTGTGTCTCTGTGTGTGTGTCTCTCTCTCTCTGGGCGCGTGTCTCTGTCTCCCGCGCGGCGGCGGCGGCTCCATCCCCTGCCGGCGGCGGCTCGGTGCTCGCGGAAGCGCCGCCCGGTCTCCCCCGCCCGGCCCCCGCCCGGCCCGGAGTTACCTGCAGGAGCCGCGTGTCTGCGAGGCTCGCCCGGCGCCGGCCACTGTGCGACCCGCCTTCCCGCCGCGGGCTGAGGGGGCCCGGCCGGCCCGGAAGTGACCTCACTCCGCCCCGCCCCCCCGCCGCCGCCGCCGCCATGGTGCGGGCCCCGCCGCCGCCGCTGCTGGGCCTGGCCCTGGCCCTGGCCCTGGGGCTCCTGGTGCTGGCGCTCCCGGGGCTGCCGCTGCCGCCCGGCGGGTCCCCGGCCGCTCTGCTGGGCCTGGGCGGCGCCCTGCTGCTGGGGCTGCTCCGAGCGCTGCTGCCCCGAGCCGCCCGCCCCGTGAGTACCCGCCGCCAGCCCCGCACCGAGCCCCGCACCCCGCCGCCAGCCCCGCACCCCGCCGCCAGCCCCGCACCGAGCCCCGCACCCCGCCGCCAGCCCCGCACCGAGCCCCGCACCCCGCCGCCAGCCCCACCGCCCCCCACCCCGCCGCCAGCCCCGCACCGAGCCCCGCCCCCCGCCGCCAGCCCCGCACCCCCCTGACCCGCACCGAGCCCCGCCGCCAGCCCCGCACCGAGCCCCGCACCCCGCCGCCAGCCCCGCACCGAGCCCCGCACCCCGCCGCCTGCCCCGCACCCCCCTGACCCGCCCCGAGCCCCGCCGCCAGCCCCGCACCGAGCCCCCGCACCCCGCCGCCAGCCCCGCACCCCCCTGACCCGCACCGAGCCCCGCCGCCAGCCCCGCCCCCCCTGACCCCGCATCCCCTGACCGCCCCGAGCCCTGCACCCCCTGCCCCACCGAGCCCCGCACCCCCCGCCCCGAGCCCTGCACCCCGCCCCTCCCCCCCCCCTACCCCCGACCCCCCCCCCTGAGCCCTGCACCCCCTGACCCGCACCCCCCGAGCCCCGCACCCCGCCGACCCCCCCGCACCTAGCCCCGCACCCCGCCCCACCCCCCCCGCACCCCGCCGCCTGCCCCGCACCCCCTGACCCGCACTGAGCCCCGCACCCCGCCGCCAGCCCCGCACCGCCCCCACCCCGCCGCCAGCCCCGCCCCCCTGACCCGCATTGAGCCCCAAGCCCTGCACCCCGCCCCCGCCCCCCCCCCCCCCCCCCGAGCCCCGCACCCCGCCCCGAGCCCTGCACCCCGCCCCGAGCCCTGCACCCCCCTCCTGCCCCCACCCCCTGACCCGCACCGAGCCCCCGCACCCCCTGACCCGCACCTAGCCCCCGCACCCCGCCGCCTGCCCCGCACCCCCTGACCCGCACCTAGCCCCACCGCACCCCGCCCCGCACACCGAGCCCTGCACCCCGACTCCTGCCCCGCACCCCCTGACCTGCACCGAGCCCCGCCGCCAGCCCCGCACTCTGCCACCAGCCCCGCACCCCGCACCGAGCCCTGCACCCCGCCTCCAGCCCCGCATCCCCCTGACCCGCACAGAGCCCCACACCCCCCGCCAGCCCCGCCACGCAGCGAGCCCCGCAGCCTGCCCCGCACCCCGCCGCCAGCCCCGCACCGAGCCCTGCACCCCGCCGCCTGCCCCGCACCGAGCCCCGCACCCCCCTGACCCGCACCCCGACCTCCAGCCAGCCTTGCCCGGCACCCCCTGCCCGCAGCCAGCCCGGCCCCGGCCTGCGCCCCCCGCCTGCAGCCGACCCCACGCCTACTGGTGCCATGCGGTTCCCAGTGCAGTAACCCTGCACACTTGCTTCAATGAGGGGGACAGGGACCCACATATGTGCATACCCCCAGGGAGTGGCTGGGACCCACACATGTGAAACGGAGCTCATTTCTAGTTCAGGCCCATCTTTTAAAAAAAAAACTTTCGGAAAAACACTGCAGGGAAGGGTAAAGAATGAAGGGCAAGACCAAGGAATCCCTCACAGTAACTCCACCTTCCTTCTCTGCCCTTCCCTGTTCTGCCTTCCTTTCCTCTCAAGGTTCACTTCCATTAATCTTTTATTTGTGTCTTTCAATCTTTAGCCTCTTTAACTGACACAGAAAAGCTACTTTAACCTGACTCTTCTCTCACACCAGCGTAAATCAGGAGGAACTTCACTAACTGCAGTGGAATTATAGATTCACAGATTCCAAGGCCAGAAGGGACCATTGTGATCATCTAGTCAGACTTCCTGGATAATACAGGCCAGAGAACTTCCCCACAGGAATTCCTAGAGCAGATTTCAGAGGCTCTTGTTGAGCCCTGGGCTGTACCTGCCAGGAGAGAGATGTGGGACACGCAGCCACCATTTGAAATAACTGTGCTGCCCTCGCAAGGAACGCTGCATTTCAGGGGCCTTTGAGATACATGTACTAACCACCTCCTAAGTGTCAGTCGCGGTATTAAAGGGCGGTTGGAATCATTCCCCAGGATCAGACTGTGCAGAGAAATCTGGCTGTTTGCAGCTGACACCAAGCAAATTGTCACCGAATTTCTAAGATTTTCCTCAGCTCCTAATGGGCACTGCTGTATTTATGCTGCTGCTCCTGGCTTCTGCAACATACGGCCACATCCCCTAGCCACTGAAACTAATGCGAGCCTTGCCATTGACTTCAATGGCAGTAGGACCCGGCCTCTGAGTTCTGTCTAGCGTGCCTGACAAGCAGCAGTAACTCAGCTGTCTCCAGGATTCCTACCAGAAATGCACCACCGCCAAACAGAGCATTCGCTCTTTGCAGCTCTGCGCAGAGTCCTAGCCTTGCTGTCAGATTGTTCTGTGCTGGTCCTGGAATTACACAGAACAGTCAATCACATGGGCCAGAATAAATATAATTGGCCCTGGAGCCACACTAGGCTGGGCACTTGAGGATTTCACCATCCCTGCAGCACAGGAACGACCCTGCTGTTGTGTCCTGGCCTCGGCTCCTTCCTTCTCCCGGCTGATGCTGGGTCACACAAACACGTCCTGGACATTCTTCCTCTTCACATCTGTTACCTGAGATGGGTCACATGACAGTCAGAGCAGGAGCAAGCATTAGCCGTTTCCTGGGACGTTGTGTGCCTTTTCCTCAGCCGCCTCATGTTCCCTAGCAGCAAGCACGACCCGGTCAGTTCTGAACCCTTGGCATTTGGACAAGCTGGTGGGATTGAGCAGCGCATCTCTGTTACCACTGAGTACAGATGTACTCTAGTTATGTGGGAGAGGGGCCTTCCACTATTTCCCTTCCCCAGCTGCCTATAGGGCCCCGAGAACCCTGGGCCACAGCCCCTTCTCCAATCCGAGGGACCTGAAACGTAAAGAACCTTGGCCATAGGCTGGAAGTGCCAATGGGCAGCCAGTCCCAAGAGCTTGTTAGAATCATAGAATATCAGGGTTGGAAGCGACCTTAGGAGGTCATCTAGTCCAACCGCCTGCTCAAACGGGACCAATCCCCAACTAAATCATCCCAGCCAGGGCTTTGTCAAGCCTGACCTTAAAAACCTCTAAGGAAGGAGATTCTACCACCTCCCTAGGTAACCCATTCCAGTGCTTCACCACCCTCCTAGTGAAAAAGGTTTTCCTAATATCTTTCCCCAAGCTCACAACTCACTCCAGTGCTCTCACAGTTGCCCTGGGCTGCCCTTTACAGCCCATGAAGAGCACGGCTGAAGGTCTCTCCATTTCTGGGAGGACCCAGGTCAGATCACTGGGCAGGGATGCAGTCCTGCTCAGGGTGCAGCTATCGCAGCTGTTAGCACTTCACACAGCACAACAATGTACATTTTTCTTATATTTGTCCATTAGCTGCAGCCCTTTAGTGCAACTTACATTGCAGTGACCACAGAACCTCCCTTATGTGCTATGCTCCAGCCTAGAGTGGATGCTTCTTTATTTACAGCCACGTTCTAACCTCAGTTATGAAAGCGCTGACACAGCTCTAATGATTTCCACTCAAGTAAAAGAAGGAGCATCTCAGCAGCTAGCTCAGGAAGCGGTTAATCATGGAGAGCAGAACCGTATGAACCGAAAGAGGGATTTGAAATCCCACAGAGTGGAGATCTGCCCCCCTGTTTTTGGAGTTGACACTAATATGAACCAACCCAGATGTTAATTCCAGTAACATACTTCTACCTGGTGCCTGATGACTTTACCACCCACTAGGAGAGTAGAACTGATGAAAACTGAGCCTATGCAAGGGCTGTTTTCCTTTGTTGCTTCCTGGGTTTCGCAGAACGATATTAATGAGATATTAGCGAACCAGGCCCATGAGATGCGTGTGTGAACTTGTTCCCATGCAGAGTCCATATTTGCACTGTGTGGTGGGGAGGAATTTGGTGATCTCAGTTCAAGGTCCACAAAACCCACCACCTCAATTGCCCTGAGTTAGTGAAACTACTATCTTCAGCAGACAGACCAAGGAATGGGTGAGCACAGAAGCCTAAATTGCTCTCTCATGCCTAACAGCTGGGCCAAACTGGGGTAAGTCAGAAGAGGATCAGGTCCCTAGGCTGAAATCCTGGCCCCACTGAATCAATGGCAAAATGCCCTTTTACTGCATAGTAGCTAAGACTTCATCTCTAGTGGTTTAGTTGGGAAGTTCTTGTGTGCAATTTAATACCACGCAGCACTGCCTGGTCTGTTAGCAGTTATAGAGATTTATTGGCTGGATTCAAACAGATAGCATTACAAGATAAACTATCCCTCTGAGCCCAGGTTCTCGCCCCGTGCATATACCAATTTAAGGTGTATGTGATGTAAAAAGAAGTACACATATAACACAGATACCAGATCTGATCTGGCAGCTGCTTGGAATAAAGAAGATTTAGCAGAAATGCTATTGTGGACATTACAAAGATGGGACACTTTAGTTAAACAGTGAGGTGGCAAAGTTTGCAGACAATACTAAATTACTCAAGATAGTAAAGTTCAAAGCTGAGTGCGAGGAGTTACAAAAGGATCTCACTAAACTAGGTGATCGAATTTCATCTGCCATTTTGTTTCCCAACGTTGATAAATGCAAAGGAATGCACATTGGAAAACATAATCCCAATGATTCATACAAAATGATGGGACCTAAATTAGCTGTTACCACTCAACAAAGAAATCTTGGAGTCATTGTGGATAGTTCTCTGGAAACATCCACTCAATGTGCAACGGCAGTCAAAAAAGCGAACAATGTGAGGAACCATTGGGAAAGGGATAGATAATAAAAGACAGAAAATATAATAATGCTATTATGTAAATCCACACCTTGAATACTGGGTGCAGTTCTGGTCACCGTGTCTCCAAAAGGTAGATTAGAATTGGAAAAAGTTCAGAGAAGGAAAACAAAAGTGATGAGGGGCATGGAACGGCTTCCGTATGAGAAGAGAATAAAAAGACTGGGACTGTTCAGCTTGGGAAAGAGACGACTTGGGGGAGAGGACAGAGGTCTATAAAATCATGGCTGGTGTGGAGAACGTGAGTAGGGAAGTGTTATTTACCCCTTCACGTAACACACTAACCAGGGGTGCACCCAATGAAATTAACAGACTGCAGGTTTAAAAGAAACATAAGGAAGTACTTCTTCACACAGCACACAGTCAACCAGTGGAACTCATTGCCAAGGGAAGTTGTGAAAACTGAAAGTATAACTGGGTTAAAAAAAGAATTCGCTATGTTCATGGAGGATAGGTCCATTAGTGGCTATTTGCCAAGATGGTCAGGGATGCATCCCCATGGTGTCCCTAAACCTCTAACTGCTCCAAATCACTGACTGTTAGAAGATAGGGTTGGACAACAGGGTGGATCTCTCAATAAATTGCCCTGTTCTGTTCATTCCTTCTGAAGCATCTGGCACAGGCCACTGGACTAGAGGGCTATTGGTCTGACCCAGTATGGTCATTCTTGTGTTCTTATGTACAGATGTACCTGAAGCATCAATATTTGGAAGAATTTTTTTGAAGTCTGTCAACTCTTGTAATAAGTGGGAAAAGATTGCATGGTATCTGGGATGCTGCAAAACTGAGCACTCTCTCACACAACTAAGACCTCGATTTTACTTAACAGACTCATAGTGAAAATAATGGAAAAAATGATTTTTAAATTTTTTTCGCAGTACTGTAAAATTAGAAATTGGTAGAAGAAAAAAGTGAACCTAGCGACTGGCACAGAATTGCAGACCTGATGTCCCACTTTATACTTTTTGAAATGAAATGTCTTTTGGTTTGTTTGTAAGCTTTGACAAATGTGCCAAATTCTGCTCTCCCAGACAGCACCACTGTAGTCTGTGGGGAGTATGTGAAAGTGTGTCTTTTGCTTATACAGTGACTCAAACTCTATGCTTGGTCTTGCTGCCACTGGAATTGCTCCCTCACATTGTGTGTCTCTGCTGTCTAATAATCTCCTGCCCCTCTAGTTCTTGTTCTCTGCCACCTGCTCAATCTCCCTGCTCCTCCAATGTTTCCCTGACCCCCACCCCTTTTATTCTGTTTCTAAACTGTAGAGCCCAGTGGAGGTGGCCGTCTTCCCCAAAGACAGCTGGGGAGACGGTAGTCATCTGTACCTCACTGCTACCTCCAGAGGCTGTAGGGAAAGGCTGTCTTAACTGGAGGCAGTTGTGGCTTCAATCAGTTGAAAGGGGAGGTAGATGGTCCAGAACACTAGCCTATGACTTTGGAACTGTGGGTTCAAGTCCCGCTTTGCCACAGACTTCCTGTGTGCTCTTGGGAGCAGGTCACTTACTCCAGCGTTGCTTAATATATTAAAGATCTGGGAAAGGGGTGAGCAGGGAGGTAGCAAAATTTGCAGATGACTCAAAGTTACTTAGGATAAGAGACGTCTGTGAGGAACTTCAGAGACCTAAACAAGCTAGGTGAGTGGGCAACACAATGGCAAATTACTTTTAATTTTGACAAAGGCAAAGTAATGGAAATTGGAGGGAAAAAATTACTCCTGCCACTCTCATGGTTCTAAATAAACTTTCTCAACTTGTCAGAGGGTGGCTGGCCCCTTTAAGGGAAAATGGGGCTTCAGTCTAACCTGTGACAAGGTCAGCTCACTTCCTCAGATGGCTGAGGTCATGTGATTAACTCAGGCCAGGCCTGGGGAGATGAGGGAGGAAAGGACAAGAGACCTGGGATAGTCATTGCAGAAAGGAGCTAGGTGGGGTTAGGAGTGCTACACATGACAGAAGCCTCAGAAAATATTGATCTGGGGTTAGGCCCTGAAAGGCCAATGTGTGTAAGGACTAAATAAAATGAACCCCAGAGGGGAAGAGTTTTAATTACCATGGGACTGTGATGTGGAGTTCTTAAGGGGACGTGAGCAGAAGGAGAAACCGAGGCAGGGCACTGCAGAGAAAGGGACTTGGGGATTATTATGGATAGCTCAGTGAAGACTTCTCAATACTCAGCTTTTGCTAACAATCAAGCAAGATGTTAGGATGCATGAAGAGTGGGATGCTGAATAATATCGAGACTATTTTAATGCCTTTATTTAAATCAATGGTGTGTCCCCAGCTGTAAGTCTGCGCGTAGAACTGGCCACCCCATTTCAGAAGGGATAGTGCAGAACTAGAGTGGGTTCAGAGACGGGCAGCAAGAACTATCAAGGGCCTGGAAAAACTCTAGTACAAAGAGAGATTGAAAAGACTGTGACTGCTATGCTAGAAAGGAGATGAGTGAGAAGGGACATGATAAAAACTATGTAGAATGATGAGTTGTCGAGAGAAGGGAGATCAGGAACTGTTTTTCCTGTCTCATAGCACAAGTACAAGGGGACATTCAATGAAATGGAATGGTGGGCAAATCAAAACCGATTAAATTGAAACACTTTATGATTAAACACAACATGATTAAATGTGGAACTCGTTGCCCTAAGAAATCATTGAAGCCAAGAATTTAAGATTCAAAAAAGGACTGAGCATTTATATGGATATCAAGAATATGCAGACTTATAATTAATGATAAAAATCCTGTAGAAGGGACATCAAACCTTGCGCCTCAGAGCTTAAGACTGTCTCTAATGATTAGAGATCAGGATGAGCCGTAATGTTGAAGGCAGTATCCCACATCTGCTGCTGTGGGGTTCTTACACCTTCCTCTGCAGCATCTGGTGCAGGCCCCTGTCAGAGGTAGGATATTGGA